TTTTTTTTTTTTAATTTGTGAGAAACATTTCACATTGGTAGCATAATTTGTAAGATATACAAGAGGCATTTTGAAACGTTTTTCAGGAGGGACATATATTAATTTTACGGAAGCTCTAATCTTCAGATCGCACCCTTTGATTTCAATGCGCTTGTTGTAGCGCTGCAACCACTTCGTGAAGACCCAATGTAGCGACCCAAAGTCAAGGAGTCCAGCACTTGGCAGAGCTCCTTAACCTTCACAACATCTTAAAAACAACTGCCTCGAGGTTCTCCTTCAGCTTGGGGAATAAAAATTACAAGGAGCGATGTCTAGACCGTACTGTACTACTGTACTGATGCGGCATTCACCCTGGGCGGATTGAGCCGGCTTCTTCCTGTTATGAGAAGAAGATTCTTGGGATAAATTACAGAAGTAGAGTACCCAGGCCTACTCGGATAACGTTCTTGCTTGCCGCGGGGTTCCCACAGACGCAGAGACAGGAACGACCAGAAGCCGCCGGTTACCGATGCAGACGCTCCTTGGATTTTCACCAGAGCCCTTATTAGCCGGCGTGTGTGTCAGACCTGTCCGCCTTGGGTGGCCCTACCAGGAACGAAGTTCCGGGCGGCATAGCTTTGACACTACCGTTTACACCCCCACCCACCGACTGTGAGGTAAGAGTTAGACATTGCTTACGGTCAAATCACGCTGAAACACCGGTTCTCGTACGATCACCGAAGTTAAGCAGCGTAGAGCCAGGTCAGTACTTAGATGGGGGACCGCTTGGGAACACCTGGTACTGTAAGCCCTCAAAGTCCAAAAAGATGTCTAGGCCGTAGGGAGTGTGTGGAACAGTTTTTATGCAAATCTCTGTAAAACTGAAAACTTTATTTCATAGCGGTCTTCCATATTGTCTTCACGTCCCGACTGTCATCTGCAAACCAGCCATCTATGACAAACATTATTCAAACAACTGTTACACTCGTTTCCTTCAATCTGAAATCACAGAATATGACAGATCAGATGTGTAATAATTATATAGTCAAATTACAATAAATTCAGACAGTTATAACCGCCTTTCCTAAAAAAAAAAATGTCTCAAGTCTTCTGGAATACCCATCGTATTTCAAGCTGGAACTATTTATGAAATGTCTAAAACTTCATGAAATGTGCTCTGTCTCTTTAAGACGTGGGAGATAATGGCACTCCATAACTTCCTTTTCTTTCTTTAGTAAATTGGTGTTTCTTGCCTACCTCATTGTACTGCCATCCGTTTCCGCAGGCTTAAACATAGGTAATACCTGCCTCTCTTAATTTCACTTTGTCCCGTGAGTGTCAAAGTCTTCAAGTCTTCTTTCTTTATTATGTGTCTTGTAGATTTCAACTGTATATTTCTGATTTTAACCATAAGAGTCCATTTCCTTATTCTTCTTAAAATTTAATTCTTAATTACATTTTCAATCCATGGGATTCTTATCATTCTTCTGTAGAACCAAGATTCTGTGACTTCACGCTTCGACTTCTATGATGAGATTGTCCAGGACGTTCGATAGTACGTAACAATCCAGTAGTCTTTTCTTTGTTTTTAACAATTTTTTCCCGTTTCTTAATACTTTGCTTAGCTTTTGGAATACATTTCCGCCCTCTGTTAAAACCCTTCCTAGATATCTAACCTTTAACACTTGTTTGATTTTGACATTTCCAATACATAGCTCGCATGTCTTTCTTTATTTTTGCTGACTACCATAAATTCTCTCTTGTTAGAGTTACTGATGCTTAGTCCTTTCTTCCAGCTTTCCTTCATAACCTTCTTTAGAACGTCCTTTAGCTTGTCTTCCATCAACACAGTGTCATTTGCGTGTTTTATGCTGTTAGATTAATAATCGATGTCATATCATGTTATGGTCACCAGCTTTCTTTGGATAGGCTCACTAATGATTCTGTTTAAACCCGGTAAGAAAACCCATGCTTGTCTTATGAAACTTTCTCTTTTTGGATACTTAATAAATTCTTTTTCTATCCGTATGTAGACCGTTTCATCTGTGAGGATAATGTCCTGTAGTCACTGCGATTATAGGAACATACATATTGCATAGCAGTTCAAAACTACTTTCATTATTTCTAACGACATTTTTCTATTACATAATACTTTGCTTAGCTTTGTTAAAGGTTGCTTCTCTGAGCAACCGCTTGCACATAGGATTTGAAATCTAATCTAACGCTTAGGCGATCATGTATCTTTCGATACTTGACTGACGAGGTAGGTTGCCATTTCTTTCTGCGGTAGACCAGATGCCAACCCAGTCTATAGAAACCGGTCTGTCCTGTTATTTACTCATAGCTGGTGGAGAAAAAGAGGATCCATACCTTTCCGAAGGGTGTTAACACGTAAGTGAATGCAATGGATTCGACTAGAATTCGAACTAGGCTCTCCGATTCCTCAATCCGAGCCGCTATCCATGACTCTACCTAACGAAACTTTCTGTTTTTGTATACTTAGTAAATTATTTTTCTATCAGTATGCAGATCGTTGCACCTGTGAGGATAATGTCCTCTATTTACAGCGATTATAAGAACATTATTATTGCGTTGCAGTTCAATACTATTTTCGTTGCTTGTAACAACATTTTCCTATTACATAATACTTTACTTAGCTTTTGGAATGCCTCTTTCGCTAAGGTTGCTCCTCGGAAATGAGTTTTCACGTTATATACGAGCGACCGCTTGTACGCGGGATTTGAAATCTAATACGCGTGTTATGTTGCTTCGAAAAGGAGCTGACAGGAAAACGATCGTACAGCAAGCGTGCTTGCCTGATGTCTGTGGCCAGAGATGACCGGTCTTAGTGCAACGTGAGCGAGCCGACCAAGTTTCCATGCTGTGATGTAATTATGTTGCGATCCGGTGATATAAAGAGATCTCGGACTGTACTTGACAGATGTCACAGGGTCGCGTATTCAATATAGAATGTGAGAAGAATTAGCCCTGGTCGACCTGATTCTATGGATGCAATACTAAAGATGAAGTGGCTCTAGATTAGATTAGACGGGCTGCTACTCAATAAATGTCCGATTGTGAAGAGCATGCGTGGAAGCAGTTTTTTTTTTTCTTCGTTTTTTATGTGCGTGAAAGCAAACGCTTTTAGCGGTAGAATTTGGTACGAAATATTTATTGATATTCATGCTTTACTACACATACTTTTGAGAGATACGTTGCTTATATGGCTTCTATCCTCTCTCAGTGGTATCTCTGTCTGCGGACAGTGTGCAGTTTAAAATATTATTGAGAGATTGTCCGGCCTCAGGGAACAGCTGATCACGGCAATACGTCTATCATTTTATGCCGTTTTAGTACCAATCTTCGTACTATTGTTCATCCAAAAAAGGCACAAGAGTAACTCAAGGTAGAAGGTTATTGAATGAGGTTGTTATAAAGGCGGAAAGGCAGGATGTAAAAAGTGCATGTTATAAGGATATGTAGGATATATAGCGGCTGACCCTAGACTTGAAGATATTAAGATCGTAGTGATCGGGAAGATTCCCCAGGGGAGTTCGATTGAAATTTCTTCCATGTCAGTGGAATACGAAGGTGATAATGATAAGTCGACCCTGTGCAAGACACATGGTGGGTCCTAGCTGCAAAGGTCAGGACTGGTGGAACTAAGGATTGTAGTTCGTCTGAGAATCTGCCCTGAAAAAAGCGTTAGATTAGCTACAATCAAGCAATGGGAAAGGCGTTTAAAAGGTAGAATCTACTTCACCACCGATAAGGCCACGTAAACTCTTTTGCACTCCATCAAAGGTGGACATTGGGTATTGGACATCGCCAGCTAGAATTACAAGAAAATTTCTAAATTCATGAGGAAGAGCGCTTATTAACGCAGATATAATATTTTAGGATATCCAGATTGTAGTCACAAAAATGACCATTCCGCATTTGTAAGAAGACTGTGACTAAAAATATGGAAACAGCATAGAGATTTTATCAAATTATGGTTGTGACAGTAGCATCAAAAATTATATGAAACTGAATGAGAGACTTATAAAATAAATTGGAGAATACTAGGACCTTGCTTGAGATCAAAATATTCTTTGATGTGTAATAATTATGTGTCACTGATGACTATTGTAATGGAATCTATGTCCATATTAATTGAAACAAAACGAATAATTCTGTTATTATATAAATTTTAATGGCACATAGATGAGAGGAAAACCGCAGTTGCTAAGTATGCAATATGGATGATGTTGTAGAGTAGCTAGCGCCTCTTCTGCACTCTACTAGATGGCCTGGCTCATAACCTTAAATAGTCTACGATTAAAGACTTCAACAGTTGATTAATAAGCTGATACTAAGCTGATTAATATTCGGACTGATCTTACTTCGTTTGGATATACAGCATTTGGCCCTCATATATTCCTTGTAAGTTGTATTGTTAATTATTTTGTAACTTATTGTTCTGTATGTGTGTGTGTGTGTTTTTTTTGTTTTTGTTTTTTTTTTTTTTTTGTCTGTGTGTGTGTATCGGTTAGCACCGGATACTGATGCTGAATAAATATATTAAGCACTAATTCTTCTCTGTGTATCATTCACCTCAACCATACAACTTATGATAATGTCGTCTTTTTTTAAAGATAGACTCTTGTTTTGTTTTGTTTCGTTTCTCACGCATAATGACTGCACATTATTTTTAAAAATGGCGCTATGATACCATTTCACGTTCTCTTGCAATCATATCTATTCTCGTCTTGTTTTGCTTCGGGGATTATCGATAGCTAAAATAAGCATAACCTTATTTATTTATCTATGTTTTGAATGGAAATAGCAAGAGTGAATCCAAAGCTCTCCAAAAAGTAACAAGTAATCAGCCTTCATTTCTATTTTTCTAGCTCGTCTAAGAAGCCATTTTGTTTTCTGTATTATATGCTTATTTACACTTGTCCCTGTGCTCATTAGATATGGCGTGCATGTTTATCAAGATAGCTAACAAACTTCCAAGGCTAATGTCAACTTCGGGCTTACGGTCAGATCACATTGAAACGCTGGTTCCCGTCTAATCACCCAAGTTGAGCAACGTTGAGCCTGGTCAGTACCTAGATGGCTAATCTCTTGGGAATGTCAGGTGCTCTAAGTTTGGATGTGCGGGTGGTTTAAGGGATAATGGCTCGAAATTATTCGGAGAGCTGAGTTCCAAGTCCACTTGTGTTCTTTATATCCACTTACGCGCAAATAATGTTAGAAAAGGTATGAATCCAACTCTTCTCCCCAGCTGTGGATTAATTAGTAAGGCATGTATAACTAAATCTTTATCTCTCCACTAAAAATCTTACAATCTAAAAAATATTATCTAGCTTTAAATAACATGCAAAGGGTTGATAAACCGTAAAAAAAGAATCAATAAATCAATCAAATACTGATTAGCTACGCAGGCATTTCTAGTAGATTTATTTACATTCTCTGGTGTATATAAGTATAGACACTCACATGGGCAAAAAGTGAAGGATCAGTTTATATATTACTTGTTATATAGAATTGATCCCCCACTTTATGTCATGATTTATTATTTGTTTATTATATCCTAATTAGGTATGAATCCACCATTTCTCCACAGCTATGGGTTAATTAGTAAAGACTTGTAACACTAAATCCTTATTATTTCCACCACCAAAATTCTTACATTGAAAAAATATTTTTAGTTTTAAATAACCGGCAAAGGTCAACCCTATAAAAGCGAAGGAATCTATCATGATGTCAAATGCAAATCGACACTAATGTCTCTAAAATCTTGAATGTGACATGTCCTTTAAGGTAGTGGACTATATTGACTATTTTCTGTTCTTTTAAATGGTCTGCCTTTTCAGCATCCCTCTCATGCCTTGTCTGGCCATCCATTTACAGAAGCTTGTTATATATATATACATATCTCTTGAGTTCAGTAACGTCTTGCGAGTGTCAAATGCTCCAAGCAAAGAAAACAGAATGCATGGTCTTCAGTAAAAGGATGAGCTCGAACTGCGATTTGCAGTTCGGCAACACTAGAATCAAGCAGACGCAGAAGCTTAAATATCTGGGAAGCGTTCTGACAGAGGGCGGTAAATGAGACACTGAGATCCGTAAACGTATTGGGATGGCCAAGGACGCATTCCAAAAGCTGGGCAGAGTATTTCGAGATAGGAGGATTTCTTTGGTAACAAAGAAAAGAATTCTGAGCTGTTACATGACAGAAGTCCTTCTTTAATGCAGCAAATCTTGGACGATTTCTTCAAAGATGAAGAAGAAACTCGAGATGATGAAGAAGTGGTTCTACAGAAGGATTCTAAGGATATAGACCAAGCGTGTAAGCAACGATGAGGCCTTAGCGAGGGTGCAAACAAGGAGACTTATACTTAACACCAGGAAGAGGCAGCTAAAAGTTCCTGGGACAAATAATGAGGAAGGAGGGCTTGGAGAATCTGATACTCATTGGTCGAACAGAGAGAAAGAGAGAGAAGGGAAAACAGTGCATGCCATACCTAGTGCGATTAAGCAAGTGGATGACAGAGCGTGGTGTGGGGGAGGTGGAAGAGGGAAGGAACTTGTTGAGAGCTGCAAGGGATAGAGGGGGTGAGAAAGCCATGATGGCCTACGTTCTGAAAGGACACGGCACATAGTAAGAAAAGAATATCAACTCTCTACTTCTGATTTTAATTATATAATTTTCCTTAAAACTTCCTCCTTACTCATATGTTCCGTCCATGTTATTCTGTGCATCAATCTGCGAGGTCACTGCGCTGCATTAACTTCTATAGAATAGGATTTGTTTTATAATGCATGAAAGTTCAGTACACCTTTTTTTCTTTCGATAAACTAAATCCGATGGCAAGAACCTTGATCGAGAGACAGGAAATTCTGAGGAACGCGGAACCACCTCTTAATTATTATTCTTCCAAGATTCACCTTGACCCGGAGTGTTAGCCTTTGTTGGGGTCCCAGTAATGGACAAACAGTGAAGCCTGAAACAAAAATCAAAACACTAGGAAAGTATAAAAAAAGAATATTTTTATAGTAAAAATACCGGCAATTAAAGTAAAATTACCAACAATATATTTTATAGCTGTTGAAGCTTGGATAAGCATGGAATAATAATAATACAACACAAAATGTACGTAAGCAAAATGTATTGAAACAAGGAAAAGGTACACAATATTTACAGTTCGTTTTGGTATATTCTTGGGAAGACGGTTCCTGCAGAATGGGTTGACTTAATCGCAGTCGGGCAGAGTCTCTCTATTCGATCTCTTCTTACTTCCTTCTTCCCGTCTTCCGGTACCAACCCATATTTATATGGTCGGTACTCCACTATGTAAATTAGGTGGATCGTACCACAACAATAGCAAATTGACCAACAATACAGTAATTAATTATAGTAAACTTCCTAACGCTACACTTTACCGAGTGTAACAGCAAAATTGTTCAAATCCTGTAACAGCATAATCCCCCACTCCACAAAATGTTTACTATCTAAAAAAAAATTACTAAACCAACTGAGTTACTTTTTTCCATTTTTCAGATAAGACGTTTAGACATCTTGACACCATTTGCCCGAAGAATCACTGAAATACTTTTTAAATTATTCAGCTGGAAATAAATCAGGTTAAAATCATTTTGCGTCAGACCCACTATGTCTTCCCAAATGAGCAATAGTGAAAGGAAAAGATCCTTCGGGTCTTCAGTAATCCTACCAACATTCATACTCTGATTCCATCTTTAAATTCCTTTCAATAACCATCAAGAGAACGGTGAATAAATTTAAAAGAGAGGGAACAGTAGAGAGGAAAACTGGATCAGGAGGTCACAAAAAAAGATGGATCATCATCTCAACTTAGAGCTAAAGAGATTAATTAGGAAAGATCCAGATCAATCCATAAGATGCTTGGCACGTGAGAGAGGAGTTTCAACAGTCAAAAGAGCAGTTAAAAAGAATTTGAAAATGATACCGTACGTGAAATCTGTAAGGTAAATATTTTAGTTCAGGACAGAAAGAAGGTTAAAGGGGCGGTGGATCATCTTGCGTAAGTTAGAAAAATGATTCTTGAATAATATATATATATATATATATATATATATATATATATATATATTTGAACTTAATTTCAATCCCTCATGTTCTTCCCATCCTTAGCTATGAGTAATTAATGACGAACATCTCATTTTCGTTTATAATCGATTTCTTAGCGATTTCTTTTATTAAGTTTGGAGAATAATTAATTATACATTGTCATTGCTCAAAGTAAATTCCAATAGTGTTATAAAATAACATCTGAGAATTTCAGTAAGATATCTTTAATCATTTCTAAGATACAACAGAAGAAATCTTAAACTAAGAATTGGACAATTTTGCTTTTACACGATTTGGACAGTTTTGCTGCCACATCTTGCATAGTAAAATTGAAGGCATGGCGTATTTTGTCAAAAAAGAATGCTATGATTAATCTCATTTCTTTTAATAGATAATATGTTTACATTCACCGTTTGATTTTTTAAGATTATTTATTAAAAAAATGCAGCTAAGTAATTATAATTCAATCATGAAATAATGTCATTTTATTGAATTAATTATAGCGTTTTAATTTTCATATTTAGATTTAATCCATAGATGTGTTGATATGCCGCTAATCAAAAACAATCGAACCAAACCAATTTTCTTTCTCTATCACGGATTTACCCGTCTCTTATTAGTCTGCTTAGCTTTTGGAAAGTACCTTTTGCTTCTCCAATGTGACTTCGGATTTCAGTGCCACGTATTTCCGCCCTCCTTTAAAAGATTTCTCAGATATTTAAATTTTCGTATTAGCTTAATATTGGTATTTCCAACTCGGAGTTCACATGTTGGGTAGTTCACCTTGTTGACAATCATACATAGTATTCTTCATATAATTGTTGTTTAATCCTTTTTTATCACTCTCCTTTGCGAACATTATTCTTGCAGTTTCTCCGCTTTGTCTGATAGGAAAACAGCGTCATCATCATGTCTTGTGTTGTAAAGGTTGCGTTCGCCAGTAATAATTCCGGGAAGAACTTCTAGTTTTCTCAGAGTCGCTTGGTAGTACAAGTTGACTGAGTCTGGCGAAAAAACAGATACACATTGAAAATATATATTATATAATTAATCAAGGGACATCTCCCTCGGCGACAAACGTAACATACTATAAACAAACACGGTCAGCCAATACTAAATTAGATTTATTGAATGAATACAATATTGAAAGGCAGAAATCATTATTATAGTATACACACGGAGAAGGCAAGACTAATAACCTAATACTTAGGAAACATTATTTTACTAATATTCATGTATAATGCATATTTTATATTATTGTAGTCTTCGGAAAGGTATGAATATTTATTGTACTCGTATCATTGAGAAATTAAGGAAATCTTCTTGCACGATTAATCTTGGGAAAGGAAAGAAAAATTAATGTACTAGTAACCTTGATAGTGGTAAAAAATATTTATTGTATTAATAACCATGGGTAAGGCTATTAACTTTATTGAACTAATACCAGTGGAAAATGTATGAATATTAATTGTACTGGACAAAGCTATTATCTTTATTGTACCAGTATCATTGTAAAAGGTATGAATATTTATTGTCTTGGAAATGGCTATCTTCATTATTGCTCGTGAAACCTTGGAAAAGGTATTAATATTAATTGCATTGGGTGAGGCTATTAATACCTTTATTGTACAGGTGACATTGAAAAAGGTATGAACAGTTGTTTATTGGAAATGGGTATATTCGTTATTGCAGGTGAAATCTTGCAAAAGGTATGAATATTAATTTTATTGGGAAAGGCTATTATCAATATTATACTAGAACCATTGGAATAGATATGAATATTTATTGCATTGGTTAAGGCTATTATCTTTATTGTAACAGTACCATTGGAAAAGGTATGAATATTTATTGTACTAGTACATTTTGGAATGACGTAACTATTGTCCTAATACCGTTCAAAAAGCAAGAAGATCCTTAGTACATTACTATTTTGTCTAGGATTGCATGCAGTTTGCTTTCTTAGTCTTCGACGCAGTCTCATCTTTTTCTAACTGAAGATTCCCAATACAAAACTGAAGAGGCACTTGAG